ATCTGGAGAGGAGAATGGAGAAGGGATTGTGGTGTGACCATCCCCTCTTGGGGGTGATTTCTCGCTTTCTGTCTCTAATGTCTCTCTCTGTCTGTCTGGCGAGCGCACACACCCTATAGCGAAAACCTCTCCAAAAAAAAAAACCTCTAAGATTTCTATTTTGGGGGTGGCCCTGAAACTTTAATTCTGCTTTTTCATGAACTTTCTGCAGTTCCCTTTCGGTCAGATTCTTATGAGGATTAAATGACAGTCCTTTTTCTTTTTTGGGGGGTAGGGGGAGGTTTTTGCTATAGGGCACGTGTGCTTGCCAGAGAGACAGAGAGAAACAGAGAGACAGAAAATGAGAAATCACCCCCCGGGGGGATGGCCACGCTGCAATCCCTTCTCCTCCATTCTCTCGGGATCTTGGACACACACGGACACGGCGCCCATTTAAGCCCCCAGGTCCGGGACACGAACCCCGGTCGACTACGTGGGAGTCCAGCAACATAGCCATTACACTAACTGCTGGTCCCTCAATGACAGCCCTTCTAAAACAGCCCAGTGAGTGCTCACTTGCTGTGGCGGCTACAGAGCCACATGGCAGGCCTGACTGTCCTCCCATCCGCCCCCAGGTATGATGACTTCCTCAAATCCACCCAGAAGAGCCCTGCCACGGCCCCCAAGCCTATGCCCCCTCGGCCCCCACTGCCCAACCAGCAGTTTGGGGTCTCCTTGCAGCAGTGAGTATGCAAGAGGTGGGTGGAGTGGGCCAGGCCACCAGCCGAAGGCCTTCAGGTGGGCTCACGGCCTCGTTTCCCCCTTGCAGCCTCCAGGAAAAGAGCCCAGAGCAAGACCCGATTCCGATTGTGCTCAGGGAGACCGTGGCCTACTTACAGGCCCATGGTGAGTGCCAGGGCCCGCCCCCACCGCCTCCCCGCTGGTCTCCCAGCTCCCTTGGGGAAGCTGCTGGGCAGGGCTGATGGGCCTGCCTGCGTCAGCACCCCCGACCCTGTCTACCAACCCAGGCCAGAACGGGCGGGGTGTCTCCAAGGGCCCAGTGCTCAGATTCACCAGGCCCCGCTGTTTTCCAGCTCTCACCACCGAGGGGATTTTCCGGAGGTCGGCTAGCACCCAAGTTGTACGGGAAGTACAGCAGAAGTACAACATGGGTGAGTGGTGCCCTCCGCACCAGCCGGACCCTGTCTCTGCACGCAGCGGGGTGACTGGGAAGGATGCACGTGACTGTTCAGCGACTTCTCTGCCTTTCGCTCGCCTATGAACAAAGGACTGAGATTCTCCTCGGTCAGATTTCTGTGGTATTTGGTGTCACACGCTGGTCCCACTTCTGCATAGCTGTCTCAAGCCTGCTTCCTCCTCGGTCAGGCACCTGGGCCCTGGCTTCAGGCTCAGTGAGAGGCGAGGAATAACTGAAGTGTGTGTCAGGGGCCCCACTCCACCCAGGTAGCCTGAGCCCCTGTCCTCTGTCACTGGGAGGTGGGGAGGCAGGTACGAGAGGAGGCTTCTAGGTGGAGGAACTTGTGCAGCAGCTGAGGCCTAGTCTAGCAGTGGGGCCTGCCTGACCTCTAGTGGCTGCCGGCCTTTGGGCCAGGCCAAGCTCTTCTCCTTTGTTGCTCACTCCAGGGCTGCCCGTGGACTTCGACCAGTACAATGAGCAGCACCTGCCAGCGGTCATCCTCAAGACCTTCCTTCGGGAGCTTCCTGAGCCTCTGTTAACCTTCGACCTGTACCCCCACGTCGTGGGCTTCCTCAGTGAGTGCCTCTCTCCCCTCCCCAGGTGTGCGCACCTGCCAGGTCTGGGACTGTACTCGGGGCAGGTGTCTGTGCCCTCCGTCCCCTCGCCTCTGCAGGACTGAGGGCCTAGGCATCTCCAAGGAGAGCCTGGTTGGGGTCTCTCCTCCAGCCTGTGTCAGGGCCTCCATTCCTTATAGACATTGAAGAGAGCCAGAGAGTGGAGGTGACACTGCAGGCCCTCCAGACGCTGCCTGAGGAGAACTACCAAGTGCTCCGTTTTCTGACCGCCTTCCTGGTGCAGGTGAGGCCTCTGTTGCATGCCGTGGCTGCCGGGTGTGGGAGGCAGCTCTGTGGCTTCCCTCTGCATCTCCCCCAATTCCTCCACAGATTTCTGCCCACTGTGGCCAGAATAAGATGACCAACACTAACCTGGCTGTCGTCTTTGGCCCTAACCTGCTATGGGCCAAGGATGCCGCCATCACCCTCAAGGCCATTAATCCCATCAACACCTTCACCAAGTTCCTCCTGGATCATCAAGGGGAGTTGTTTCCCAGCCCTGACTCCAAGGGGCTCTGAGCCCAGCCCTGGTCCCACCAGGCCCTTCTCTGGTAGCCCCAGTTTGGACTCTTCCTCCTGGCATCAGCCTTATAGGAGCCTGGGGCTCCTGCCCAGGGACCATGAAGCCCCCGGGAGCTAGAGCTGGAGCCAGCCAACTGCCCCTCTGTCCAGCCCACCTCCCTGGCCCCGGAGGCCTCGCCGTGCTCACAAGACGGTCGTCTTCGCCTTACACTTCTCACTGCCTCTCTGGGTCCCTGGCTCCTTCCGGGCTCCCCAGAGCTGAGCTTGGCTCTTCCAGCTGGATGAAGACAAGCTCAGCAACCCCTTCCTGCTCTTTCCTGCTTGTCTCCTGGCATCTGTGGGTGACCAAATCCGCTGGCTAGGCCGCTTCCCTCCCTGAGTGTCGAGAGTGGACAGCTGAGCGCTGAGTCGGTCCTGCCATGCCTGGGCACCCCCTGGCTGGGTCTGCTGCCCTGCTTTTTAGAAGTCCCGCGGCTGCACAAAGGCCTGGGTGCAAGCACCCTGCTCCTGTCCTTGCTCAGCCTTGGTATTCCACACATGGAATGTGAGGGCCGAGTCGGCTTCCTCTTCCTCTTTCTCCTCCACACATCCTGGGTCAGCCTTTCCCAAATGCTACTGCCCCTCGGGTGGCCCTGGGCTGCCAGGACTGGCAGCTTGGATGTCAGGGCTAAGTCCCAATGTCCACCCAGAATAGACCTCCAGTCCACCCGAGAGCCCCAGCGGCTGCTCAGGTCCATACCCAGCAGGCTCTGCGCCTCCTGTCCTGTGTGGACAGAGACTCAGCCCGCAGGCTCTTGTGGACCTGCCCGCCGTGGAGACACACTGGTCCCTGTGCTGGCCCGTGGTGACTCAGCACATTGGGGTCTGGTGGCTCCTTCCTCTGGCTGCAGGACCTTGCAGGGGGCTGGAGTAAGGCTCCAAGTGCCCACAGGAAGGGCGGAGATCGGCCAGTAGATCAGCCCCCACAGGCATATGGACCCAGGGCCATGGTCCATCAGAAACCTGGACCCCAATGGTAGTTGATAGCCCTCTTCCAGCAGTGTCCCTTGGAATCACATGCCTTCCTAATGAACCCTAGGGACCCCCGTGTTAGTGCAGCCTTGTCTGATGGCAGGGAAGTCCCTGCAGTAATCCGGCCTCCACAAGCCTTGACCAGCTGGGGCAAGGACTGTGGGGATCCTCACTGTGCTCCCATCTGTGAGCCAAGTGGGGCCTGGGCCCAGCCTCCCCGGGTGCTGCCCCAACACCACTGGCCTGTCAGGATTCCTGGGCCTGGAGCTGCTGCTGGTCCTCTCGGCCCGTGTCGGGCCTGACCTGGGCTGCTCCGTTTTCTACCCGCCTTTGTATATCATGTGTTGCTCACAGCCCCACTGCCCGGGAAGCCTTTGGGATCTATGAGGTCTTTCTCCTGTCCCCTGCCCCACTGCTCGGTACCCAGGGGGGGGCGCTTGTACTGTGAATCGAGTGTTCACATTCACACTTAACGACTTCCTTGGCACCAATCATGTATTTCACCGTTTGCACTTTTTGTATTTCAATAAAAATGGAGATGGAAAACCGCCCATCGGCTGTTAAGGAAGTGAGGCATGGAGGCTTGGAACCTGGTGAGTTGTGGTGTGGTTGAGGAAAAAGTACCTCCCCGGCCCCGCTTCCCCTTCCAGCTCTCATCCACTGGTGACTGACCGTGAGGTTAACTTATCTCCCCAGCGTGGAAGGTTCGACAGCCACCTTCCACGTTTTGGTACTGCAGTGTCCCAGCTGGCCGCTGGGAGGTGTCTGATCACCAGGGCCCCCCCAGCTCGGAGGTAGGAGTGTAAAGGACCTTAGGTCTAAGGCCAAGCGAGAGAGGAAGCAGGGTGGGCTGGGGACCACGGTGTGGGCTTTGGGCACGTGCTGGACTTGGACCCTAGTCCCATCACCTTCACCTCTAACTGGTGACGGTCCTGTAATGTCCCACCTGACACTGCTGCTTCACCAGGAAATGGCTCTGCGGAGGGCCAGAAATGCCGTACACAGCACCTGACGGGGTGGTGCTCAGCACAGCAACCCACTTCTACGGATCACGTACCGATCAGGACATGAACCCTCAACCCCGACCACTCCTCTCGTCTCCTGCCCTGCCCCTCAGCCTGAACCCTGCCTGTCCTGCTATGCTGCCTGCGCACACGGAGGCTGGGACTGCTCCTCCCTCACTTAGGCAGGTTTTGCTTTGCAGTGCTTTAAAGGTTAAGCGGTAAATGTCCTCTTACTGCAGTTAAAAACGTTTGCCGTTGGGAGGGCCGGGAGATGACGGCTTGGCACAGCCATCAAGATCAAGTCCAGGTTTAATAGCAGTGAGGTGGCTATAGTGGCCCGTTGGGCCTTTTTCCTCCTGGCTCACATGGGCTGGGAAAGTGGGCCAGAGCTGCGGACTGGGCGGGCAGTGCCGTGAGGATGGCAATAAACACGGGCCCTGAGCTCCAGGAAGCTAGGCCTGCTGCACAGCCGTGGCCTTGGTCCAGATACCTCGAGGCAGCGGGCCCTGGCGGCCGCCTCTCTCTTGGAATCTGCTCAGTTCTAAGCTGGCGATGGAAAGAGGCAGAGTGGCCAGGGAAACAGAAGAGGGGGTGCAAGCAGGCGGGGAGCTGTTGTCTTGGGCTGGGCTCCTGGCAGGGCCACTGAGTGACTCAAATGCCGGGCTACCAAGGCCTTGGCAACAGTGGTCCCGGGGTGGGGACGCTTTAAAGGGGTAGGACACCATGCTGGTCACAGGCAACCAAGTGCTTTGGCTTCTTGGGGTCTCAAGTGAAGAGGGGACCCCCAGGGACAGTTTTTCCATCATCTCTGACCCAGGAGGAGGCCGGCATGGTGTGGTATTGTGGTCTGTCATGTGCGGTTTACAAGAGGCAAGGGCTCCCAGCCGTTATGGGCAGGGTTGGGCTGAATTTACTTCTCTAACCAGCCATTTCTTGTCTTGAGGCCTGGTCAGCCCGACATGGGCTGGGATGGCGACCAGAGAGCAGCTGTCTGGTTCTTGGCCATTTCTGCTCTGGCCTGCGCAGCCACCCCCCCTCACATGACATTGGCAGCCTCTCTGGAAACAGCAGAGCTCTCTCTGCCAGCTGTCAGCCTCTCCCCCCAGACCATGTCTTCCAGGCTGAATGGTGAGTTGTGTTATGCAGGGGGAAGAAAGCGGAGGGCAGTGGGCTCCATCTTACGATGGGTAAAATGACTTCACAGACATTGTCTCACCAAGTATTCCTACACAAATCTGACTAGGATCATTACAAGGAAAATGCAACTCCAAGAAGGTTCCAGAAACACCTAAGGTTGCACAGCCACTAAGTGGCCAAGCCTTGCCTTCCAAAGGAGCCCGGCCGGACTGCAAAGCCTTTGTACCAGGCTGTGCACCACTCTGCCCTGGCCGAGAGCCTGCCCACAGTGAGAGGTAGGCTAGGTTTCCAGACAGCTTGCAGGACAGGAGGCTGTAAAGTACAGAAAAAAATTTATTGGAAATCTTTCGAATACATCTTGAGTGTAGCTCATTATTTCCAAACAACGTGGGTTGGAGGAGGGACTCTGCCACCAGGACACCGATGACTGGTCCCGGCCTGCCCTCGGGGTGCTGCGGACAGTCCAGGGCTAACTTCTGTTGTATGGGGCCGAGGGGCAGGGGCCGGCCTTGGCAGCTGCTCTGCTCCTCTCTGGCCCGGCTCCCCGGCCTCTTCAAGGATGAGGTCCTGGAGAAAGGCTGCTGCCCACGGAGGCCAGCAGTGAGGGCATCAGAGGCCATCTTGGACAATCGCTGAGTCTTCCCATGCAAGGCCTCAGAGAGGCAGACGCTTTGATATGGGGAGCATCAATAACCTCGCAGGGCCCCTCCCCTTTTCAGTGCTGGGGCCTTCGGGGCAAATGTGATTTGAGTTCAGCAAAGCTGTGGATGTGCTTGGGCCCAAGCAAGGAGGGCTACTTGGCCTCTACCACGTGAACACCTCTCTGTGGCAGAACCCGCACGTTGCAGTGCTCCGGTCCAGAGCCCGCTCCCGCCCTTGGCAGGCAGCCGTGGAGGTGGGAACAGTCACATGCAGGTTACTAACAAGCAACGAGCCTCCTGCCAGTGAGCTCTGCAGGTGGCAGGGGAACGGGCTGGGAGGACAGATGGTGGGTGGGTGAGGCCAGGCACTTGACTTACTCAAGGAACAACACCTGAGGGGTTAGTTAAGTCAATCACAGGCCCAGTTTTGGCTACACTCCAGCGCATAAACCCTTGGGTCCCATACAGGCTCTGGGATTAAAGGGGGTGGTGGTCAGGCCCAAGCAGGAGGGAAAGCTCCACAGTCCAGCCCTGAGGAACAGGAAAAGGTACCCCTGCAACGGGACACACAGTGCCCCTCGGCACTCATGTGGCATAACTCTGGGGAATCATCACATTTAGCACCCAAGACTCGCTGGGCCGCCAGAGTGGAGTCAGCTGCCCCGCAGGAGCCGGGGAGGGGTGAGGCTCTCGCCAGGAGCTTGCAGGCAGCGAGGCTGCAGGCCTGGCCCTTGACCAGCCCCTCCCTGGGAAGGAAGGTCCTGAGAGCAGCAGCGGCCGGATTCCGGGGAACCTCCATGGCAGGAGGCCTCTGTCCCAGGAAGAGTTCCTCCACCTTCCCCAAGTGAAAACATCTAACCACAAACATGTTTTCTCTATAAAATAGCTGATTTCTCTGAAAGTCATAAATATTTACCATGTTCTGTAACCAAGGAGCAGCAATGTGGGAGGGAGAGGAGCGAAAAGAACCTGCGCTGCACCGCCCAGGGACAGAGTCCCAGCGGCCCAGAATCCCCGCCGCCCAGGGACAGAATCCTGACGGCCCAAAATCTCCGCCGCCCAGGGACAATCCCAGTGACCCAGATGCCTCGTCAACTCCAGGAAGCTGAGGAGCTGCGTGCAGGCAGCTGTCTCCACTCAGAGCCTCTGAAAAGGGCCAGCACGACCCTCGGGATGGGAGTGGCTGGCTCTGGAGTCCCCTGTCTTGGGCAGGCAGGACAGAAGGACAAGCCCAGCAGGCAGAGAGGGTTGAGATGCCAGGAACTAAAGGGGGCGAAGGCGCAGCCCAGACTGCCCCTCTCCTCCCAGCCCCAGCCCCTCCCTTGCTGCCCCTGCACGGTCTCTGCACAGTCTCTGCACGGACTCTGGACCACCGGGAGGAATGTCGGGGGGGGTGTGAGGGCATGGGATGCTGCTACGGAGAAGCCGATGGGAGGACCCCTGTGGAGCACTGATGGCGGCTGGTACGCGGTCTTCCTACTCTAAGGCCAGAGAGCAAGTCCTCTCAAAGCTGTTACTGGGCTTGACTGCCCCCACAGTCTCCAGGAGATCGAAGAGCAGGAGCTTCTGGGTCCCCACTGGGGAAACCATCTCCCCTCTACCTGGCTTGGAGCAGGGTGGGGGATGGGAATAGCTGATGAGTGGGAGGCTCTCTGTCCCCTCGGGGCACAAAAAGGGGATGCTGCTGGTACTCAAGGACATTTTTACTGCAGGGTTTCTACAAAGGCATCAAATTCTCGAACATTCTTCTCATGCACTGCCAGCTTCTCCGGTAACGAGTCCTGTATGAGGGAGAGAAGGGCTGCTTATCCAGGCAGGCCTTGAGCAGGCTTTGGGGCAGGGAAGGGGGTCCAGCTGGGTCTGGTGGGGGCCAGGAGTGGAAAGAACAGCCTGGGGGATCCAAGCTGGCCACACGCTCAACGACGTGGAAAGGGGCACATGGATGACACAGAGGGGTGAAACATGAAATGCTCATGGCGCAGATCACACCCATCCTAACGTAAATAAATAAATACCAAGTTTGGAGCTCTACAAAATACCGAAGTTTCTGAATAGTTCCTATACACCTTCCGCTGAGCACCAGAATGCCCTGTGGGTACAAGAACAAGACTTTCCTGCACCCCCGGGAGAGTGTGACTGCAGGTCTGCAGTGAGGCCTAGCAAGGAGGGGTGTCAGAGGGCACTGAGGGCAAACAGCAAGAGAGAAGTGGAGGGAGATGAGGTGCGAGGTGAACTGGCCTACCAGATGAACGGGTGCAGACGCCTACCGCATCTGCAGAGCAAACCGCCACGGGAAACGCCCTGACCGGCCAGCAAAGCCCTGAGAAACGGAGACATGCCTGCCCTTGTCCATGGTGGGCAAGACTCCCTGACAGCCATGGCTGTTGTGGGTGCAGGTGCCTGAGATGCAGAGGGCCTGGGACCCAGAGCACACTGGCTGCCTGTCATAGCGAAGGCGCTGGGACCCTGTTTCTTCCAGGGACGTGTTAAAGAAAAGGCAGGGAGCAAAGCTTTCGGAAGAGAAACAAAAACAGCACCTCCAGGACCCTGTGGCCCCCCACTCCAGGCCCTGGATCATGGGCACACATGTCCAGGATACTCAGGAAGGTCTCCAGGTATGAGTTCAGAACCTTCCCAGAGGGCAAGCCTGGCTGACCAGCCTGTTCTACCACTGCAAATGTCCTACAAAGTGTCCTTCGCTGCCACCTGGCCCTGGTATCAAGCTTCGCTCTGCCTGTCTGTGGGATCACAGGCAAGCTAGTCAACCATGGTGTCAGTCTTCTCACCTGCAAACTGGGATAAGGAAAGCGACCTCTTCTGGCTGTTGGAGACTCATGTTAAAACTCAGAAACAATGCCTGGCTCTCAGCCTCCGTAACTGTGGACGAGGCTACTACTGTGCTCGGTGTTGGGCATGTGGTTCTGTCTGCAGCAATTCAGGGGCCACGACTCCCCGATCTCTGCCTTCTGTACAGGAGGTGACCACCCCACCTTGGAGAGAAGGCCCTTGACCTCTGGTGGTGTAGGCACCCAAAGTTCATGGCTCTGCCGTCCAGAGGCAGGAAACAGGAACTGTCCTAACAGAGGTGTGGTCAGTGCAGCCAGTGTCGGGCTATCTGGCCCAACATGAGAAGCGCTAGTCGAGGGAATGAGCGCCCTGGGGAAAGGGCAGGAACATCACTCTCGGGACCTTCTGTTCTGCTCCGCCCAGTATCACTGGCACCTGCCTGGCAAGTTAAACAACTGAGTGAGAGAGCTGCTGGGGCAGCCTGGCTCTCAGCCTCAGCACGTGGAACACACTGGAACAAGGGCGTGTCAGTAACGCTGAGAATGAGCAGAGAGGAGGAACCAAGCTCAAACAAATGCAAGACAATGCTAGCAGGCACAACACACATCTCAAGTGTGAGTCCCACACAGTAACGACTTAAAACGGCCACTCTTATGTTAGAGGGGAGAGGGGGTGTGGGGTGGACCTGCGGCACAGGAATGACCAGCCATCCAATGGGGAGGGGAGGTCAGGGGTTAAGTCAGTGGGGGAAGGGGTTTCGTACCAAGTCTTCAGCCATGGACTGGGCTCCAATGTCTATGGAGAGACTGCTCAGCTGAGGGGGGTTCTGAAATTCACGATAGAAGGTCCCCAAGTCCATTGGAAGAATGTCATCTTTAGAAAAAGCCGGTTTCTTCAAAAACAAGATAATCAGTTTAGTCTCCTTAAACCACAAAGGAAAATCAGAGGACATAAGCTCTGAACTTTCCTCCCAGAAACTATTGAAGAAAAGGGTTTTCCAGCTTATCTCAGGGAGAGGAATCTTCACACCTTTCTCTTCTGAGCTCTTGCCTTTCTTTTTATTTTTAAAGTGAGGTTTTGCTAGGGACCAGCAGTTAGCATAATGGCTATGTTGCTGGACTCCCACGTAGTCGACCGCAGTTCGCATCCTGGACCCAGTGGCTTAAAACTCACGCCAGGCGTGTGTGCGTGCGTGCCCAAGATCCCGAGTGGAGAATGGAGGAGAAGGGATTGCGGCATGGCCATCCTGCCTGGGGGGTGATTCTCGCTTTCTGTCTCTCTGTCTCTCTCTGTCTGCCTGGCGAACACATGCACCCTAGAGCAAAAATCTATCAAAAAAAAAAAAGTGAAGTTTTGCTCTAGGGTGCATGTGTTCGCCAGGCAGACAGAGAGAGACAGAGAGACAGAAAGCGAGAATCACCCCCCAGGCAGGATGGCCATGCCGCAATCCCTTCTCCTTCATTCTCCTCTTGGAGTTTTAGGCACACATGTACAGCGCCTGGCCTGAGTTCTAAGCCACTGGGTCCAGGACTCAAACTGTGGTCAACTATGTGGGAGTCCAGAGACGTAACCATTACACCATCTACTGGTCCCTGGGCTCTTGCCTTCTAATTCTGGAGATGACATCCATTCTCCTCTGGTCAGAGTTATGTCCCCTCTCTTCAAATTCCTTTTCTAAGCAAAGTGCTACCCACTTGGGCACGAAGAGGTCCTATGTGGGGACCACTGGGAAATCTCCACGTAGAGTTGAATCTCACTGTCAGTTTCAACCAAAGGCATTACACAAATGCCTTGTTTCTGGGCCTCCAGAGGTTGCCCCACACAGGGCGAACAGCAAGCTCCACCTGCCCCGCCCGTCTGTTGGCACAGCCTGCCTGACCCTGGGAAGGAGACCTTGCTCCAGTGCAGGTGCCTCTGTTTACCTCCCCTGGGATGACAAAAGTCAAGGAAAGAGAAGCCCACTTACGAAATCGACCATAACGAAGTCGTCATGAGTATTTCCACTGCTGCCCCCGCTGGAGCCATCAGAGTGCAGGCTGCCTTGGAGAGGGGATTCGGTCTCTGGGGAATCTGGAGGATTAACCTGTTTCAGAGGAAGATGGAGTTAGGGGCCAATTCTGAGCTGGATGCAAATAACCGTTCATTTTTACTTAGAAGGAACCTAATGCGGGCTACAAATCCCTAAGCCCAGGGACACGGCTTATGGTCTGTAGAGGGCTCGGTGACTCATGGTGAGCCCAGGAAGGCTGGCGACTGCACCATCTGAAAGCAGGCAGGCAGTGGCAGGCTCACCATGGGATCGGTGTCCTCCAGCTCCAAATTCTTGGGAGCAAACATGGCAAAGGGGATGTCCAAACTTGTCAGAGTCACCTGAAGAAATAGGAAGAAAGCGTCAGTGCCTGTTTCCCCGCCCAGCCTTACAGGCCGCCAGAAGCGCAGAGGCCCAGCAAGGCTATACACCTAGGTGACCACCCTGTCCCTCAGGCTCCCATCCTGTTAGGGGTCCCCAACATCCCCCACTGCCCCACCCTATCACCTATGGCCACAGCATAACAAGGGTTCTCAAGGACCCTGGGATTCAGCTTTGGAAGCTTGATCCCCAGTAATTCAGTGCTTCTCTGGCCCGGCCAGGGAGGAACTGCCTGTTTCAACAAAGCTGAGGCAAGACAGTGTGGCTTTCTGTACTAAGCGGTATCTGGTTCCTCTTTCCTATGTGATCTTAAAAGATCACAGAACAACAGTTCCTAGTTATTTCTGAAGGAGGTCAGTTATTAACCCTCTTCACAGAAAAATGAACAAAAACACACAATTTTGCATGCTGTTTCAGTAGTCCCACAGACCCCAGCCTAGGGATCTCCTCAGGACTCGGCCATCTCGGGTAGCAGTGGCTGAAGAATCACCTGGTTGATAGGTTTGTTGACAAAAGCCCCCACTTTTCGGACAAAGATGGTCTCCAAGACATCATGGGGGGAGGCCCGTCCCTCACTGCTGTTTGACACGGTTTCGGTGTCCTCGCTGGAGAAGAGAGGTACGGTTGCTACTCATTTCAAACCACTGCATACACCATTTAGATCCCCCCAAGTCCACCGTCTCCTGGGACCATGGCCCCGAGCAGGGCCCACAGGGCCCGCCCATGTGGGAGACTGCACTGTGCCGGCTGTCACCTGCCTTTTCGGGTGATGGCAGAGAACCGCCCGTCCTAAAGAACCACAGGGCATGCGTGTCTGAGTGAAGCGCGGTGTCCTCGTGGGTGAAGCCGCAGGAGTGTGAGGCGTACCACGCTGCCGTGCAGCAGTGACTAGGCACGCGGCAACTCTCAGAAACAACGGCGATCTTAATCTACCCCACAGCCAGAAAGCACATTTTAGCTTTTCTTCCTTTTTTCAATATACAAATACTTAAGACCATAGTTTCCAGTGCACTGTTCAGTTTAAGCCTTACTTCACTGCCATTCTCCAAAGGGGAGAGCCCAAGATGTACTCCTCAGAGTCCGCTCTCTCCGACCCTCAGGAGTTGCCTGGCTCGGGTTCTCTGTGGCCCCACCTTGCCTCCTCCTCTCTTCTGGCCCCCCCACCCCGCCATTCCTAAAGGCCTTTGAATGCCACACTAAATTACACGGCT